GGGCGCCGCCGCCGCCGCCCCTGCCGCCGCCGCCAATACCACTGCCTCTCGGGCGATGCAGACGGCCTCCGCCAGTGCGCCTATGGGGCTCTCGCGCCCGCACCCGCAGGCGCGGACCAGTCGGCGCTGGCGCATCTGCCCATACGTACGGCAAGCCGCCTGCACCGTCACCAGCATACGTATGCTGGCAGCGGAAAGGTGCCGTACCGCGATGGGGGCCACCTGCGGCAGCGGAGCAGGTGACAGGATAAGAAAACGTACGGCAGGTTTGGTGCCCTTTTGGCTTGCAGGCGGTCTTCCAGCCGTACACGTGGCGCAAGTGCTGCTGGAGCTGTCGTCGGCGGTCCTTCCGGCGGTGGCGGCGGCGGCCGCTGACGTGGCGACGGCCAGCAGTGGGGTATCCGCTGGCGGCGGCGGAGGTGGCGGAAGTGGCGGCAGCAAGTTCGAGGAGGCCGAGCTGCACGTGGAGGTACGTGTGGATGTTGCCTCCTGCGGGGGAATAGGGGGGGAAAGGTTGTTAAGGTTTTCGGGCTGATCCTTTGCTGCATATACCTCGTGTCGTACACAGCATGGTCATGTCTTTTGTCCGTTCAGGAGCTTCCGAACGCAGTGGCCGTGGCGCTGGGCTGTTGCATGCAAGCTGCCGCGCTGCTACTGCCGCCGTCGGGTATTAGCTCGTCCCACGCAGGGGCGGCAGCAGACGCAGCTATCCCCGCCGGCGATGCTCCGCCGCCGGGGCAGTTAGTGGTGGCGGCGGCGGGCGGCCGACCGACCACCTCCGGGCCGGGGGCGGTTGGGGCGGTTGGGGGCGGCTGTCCGCCCAACAAGAGGCAGCCGGGTCCGGTCCAGGGGTGGCGGCAGGAGGACGAGCAGGACGGGGAGCGGCGGAGGCTGCTGGTGGTGGCGGCGAGGCAGCTGAGAGCCGTGGCTAAGGCGAGACGAGGGAGAGGGTGGGGAGAAGGGGGTGGCTTGAGGGATGGGACGTGGTGAAGGACGGGAGGGAGGGGAGAAGGAGGTTATCGATGGAGTGCTTCGGGTTCACATGTATGTATGTATGTATGTATGTCACCACTACCACCTCATGACACCCTCCCGACCCGTTTTAACTAGATCACATGTCGCGGCTCAGTCCGTTAGGATGCATACATACATACATACATACATACATACATACATACATACATACATACATACATACATACATACATACATACATACATACATACATACATACATACATACATACATACATACATACATCCGCACACACGTACGATACATACATAGGCAGGAGGGGCAGTGTCGTCGTCCCCATCCGCCTCCATCTGTCCTTTCCCCCCTTCCCACTTCCCCTGCTCCCCCCCTCCTTCCCACTTCCCCTGCTTCCCCTCCTTCCCCCCCCTGCCCCCCCCCTCCTTCAGTGTGTTACAGCTGGCATCTGGCTGCTGCTCAACCACACCACCACCACCACCACCACCTCTTCGAGGGAGCCCGCGGCAGCAGCTGTAGCAGCAGCAGCAGCTGTAGCGGCCGCCCCGGGGGCTGCCGGTAATGGCGGTGGCGGCGGGGGGGGTGATGCGGGCGGTTCGGCCTCACCCCCTCCGTCCCCCTCCGCTTCACCACCTCGTTCCTCGGGCGGCAGGCAGGGACACCACACGGCGACACCACATACACAGGACCGGCGGACAGCGGACGGCAGACAGCAGACGGTGACACCCGCGACAACCGCTGCCGCTGCCGCTGCCCACGACGCCGACGCCGACGCAGCAGCCGCCCCCTGGTTGCAGCCTCCCTCCTCCCCTTCCTCGGCGGCTGCCGTACTGAGCGACTCGGTGGTTTCGGATCTGTGTCTGACTGTGTCTCTGTGGCAGTACCACTGGAAGGACTTGGACGAGCTGATTGAGCAGGTGGGCGGGATGGGGCGGGGAGTTGAGGGGATGGGAGGGGGTTACCTACCTGCCACTACCTACCTACCCACCTACCTGTAGGGAAGGGGAGAGGGGAGGAGGGAAGGGGGCAATACGAAGGGGAAATGCAGTAGTAGTCGAGTCGAGGAGAGGGCCGCATTATTATTGTGTATTTGTGAGTGAACACGTACTGACTGACGATCACGAGGAATGCCGCTGCGGCGACTGTGGTGGTTGTACTAGTTGAAGCAGTTTTACTGTTAGTTGTTTAGTCGAAACCCCCTCCACACGTGCAGACATACATACACACCACCTCTCATTCTCCCCGCTTTACAAACCCCCTTTCCGGGCCCCCTCCCCCCCGGCCGGGCAGTTGCTCAGCTCCCGCTCCTCCCGCTCCCTCCGGGAGCTCGGAGGCGCTCTGGGGCTGACTGCCGCGGTCTCTCAGGCCGCGTGGAGGCGACTGATCGCAGCCCTAGAGCCGCAGACACTTCCGCTGCACCACCACCACCACCACCACCATCAACAAGAACAGCAGCAGCAGCACCACCACCACCATCAACAAGAACAGCAGCAGCACCACCACCACCACCATCAACAAGAACAGCAGCAGCACCACCACCACCACCATCAACAAGAACAGCAGCAGCCGCCACCACTACCTGCGGATGGCCTCCGGGGAGCAGACGGCGCCGGAGCCGCCGCCGCTGCAATGGCGGCGCCAGCAGCAGCAGCAGCAGCAGCAGCGGCAGCAGTGACGCCGCCCCCTCCGATCCCCCCGCGGACAAACAGCGGCGTCCTGCCGCTGTTGGGTTTCCTTATTCGCGGTCGGGAGCAGGTGCGCGGAGGGGGAGGGGGAGGTCGCAGGGGGCTCCGGGGCCAGATGTCGCCGAGCTCCTGCTCGCCCTCCCCGACCTCGCCCTCCCCGACCTACCTGCCGCCGTCACCGTCACCGATGTCGGTCATGTGCTGCGAGATGGTGACGACTTCGCCGCCGCCGGGTTCATCGCCATCGCTGGGGCGAGCAACGGCCGCTGTCGGCAGCGGACGGTTCGGCAGCCTGCCGCCAACAGCAGCAGCAACAACAACCGGTGGGATGGACTCGGCCGCGCCGCCGCTGGCCCCGGGTAGTGCGAGTGGTTGTGTGTGGCCATCGGCTGGCATGGCCCGAGGTGGAGACGGTGACGGCCGCGGCGGCGGCTACCCGCAGGATCCCATTCCGCATGAGCCACTGTTCCTGCTGCTGGGGCACCTGAGCGATGATAGCGATGATGATGATAGCGATACAGGCGGTGAAGAGGAGGAGGAGGAGGAGCAGGAGGAGGAGAGGGAGCAGGTTGTGCAGGAGGAAGAGAGGGAGGAGGAGGACGAGGAGGGTCCTGGTGACCGCGATGGCGGCGGCGATGGCGGCGGCGGCGGCGGCGGCGGCGGGGAGCGTCACCCGGAGTGCCGAAGTGGCGCCGCCGGGGCCGTCGAGGACGACACCCAGCGCGGTTACCAGGTCGGGGAGATGATGGGTCCTCCGGGGGGGGATCGCGGGGTTGCCGGCGGCCGATACTGCCATATGGCCGCGGGGGGCCGAAGGAGCGAACGCGGACGGCGCAATGCGGGCGGCGGGGCCATACGAGCACTGGGACATACGCAGCAGCCCAATGCGGCGGCGGCGGTAGCGGTGACTGCTGCTGCTGCTCCTGCTGGTCCTGCTGCTTATGAAGGCAATGCTGCCGCCGCTCCATCGGCGGTGTTGGAGCACAAGGGCCGTCCCCCGATTGGACGGAGACCCGCTCCACCACCACCACCACCACCACCACCACCACCACCACTGGAGCAGTGTCAGCAGAAAGCCCATGTGCACCCCCCGCCCGCACAGCAGCCACAGACACAGGGCCAGGACCAGGGCCAGGACCAGGCACGGCAGCAGCCGCCCCAGTCGGCGTCACGAAGCAGGAAGCGGCCCCGGCCTAAGGACAGTGAGAGCACCGCACCTGGCCCTGCTGCTACTGCTATTGCGGCGGCGGCGGCTACAGCCACACCTACTGCTGCTGCCTCTACTGCTGCAGCTGCTACTGCCGGCGCACACGTCACGGGGGGTGCTACTGGTTGGGGGGTCGCGAGGCTCGCAGTGGCGCGAGGCTGTCAGGCGGCAGCGACTGCCGCCGCGGCGGCAACGGCAACGGCATTGAAGCCGTCGGAGGGTGCGGCCGCCCCGGGGGCCTCTGCCCGGGGTTCTGCCGCCACCGCCGCTACTGCTGCTACTGCTGCCCCGGCCCCATCGGATAGCGTGTTCCGTCGGCGGCGAATCGTACCTTCCCTCGTACAGCACACAACCGCCACAACCACCACCACCGTCCCCCAGACGCCGGCTACGGCCACCAACACTGCTCGAGGCTTAACAACCTCGCGGCAGTTCAGCGCACACACACATCGTCAACATCCTCATTCTCATCCCGTGACATTGAGCGCAACCGCCACTGCCATTGCCGGCCCCACCACCACCGTCACCACTGGCGCCACCATGTCGCTGTCCGCCGTGGCGGTGGTGGCGGCGGCGGTGGTGAGGCCTCAGACCCCTAGCGGCAGCGGGAGCGGGAGCGGGACCTTGACGGGGCTCAACGGGGCGGCGAGCACCCCCCCCGGAGGCCCCACTGCCACTGGCATTGTACACCCACCCCAAGCCCAGAGGCCGATCCTACCACCGTTA